CTTTTAAACAATTCATGGCTTCTCACGGTATTTTGCATCAAACTTCTTGTGCTTATACACCTCAACAAAATGGTGTAGCTGAACGTAAAAATAGACATCTTATTGAAACAACTCGCACACTTTTAATTCATGGAGATGTTCCTCAACATTTTTGGGGTGATGCTCTTCTTACTGCATGTTATCTCATTAATCGCATGCCTTCTTCGGTTTTAGATAATAAAATACCTCATTCCATTTTATTCCCTCATGAACCACTTCATCCTTTACCTCTCGAAAGTTTTCGAGTCTACATGTTTTGTTCATAATTTCAATTCTAGTGCTGGACAAGCTTTCTCCTAGATCACATAAATGTGTTTTCTTAGGGTTTACAAGATCACAAAAAGGATACAAATGTTTTTCTCCTTCTCTTAACCGTTATTTTGTGTCAAAAGATGTCACCTTTGATGAGTTGTCTCTTTATTTTAAAAGTCAAACTTCACCTCTGTCTCCATCCAATCTTGTCAACACTCCTAATACATTTAATGTTCCTGTTGTTTGTGACCCTCTAATTGTGTCTTCTTCACCATTAGTTTACGCTCCATGATTAGCTTCTTCTCCACTGCCTCTTCGATTTATAGTTCTCGAAACCAATCACAACCACCACCATGTGACTCTACTCAAGTGCCAACTACTCTGTCTCCTCCGGATCGACACATGAGTCCGACCTTCCCATTGCCCTCCGAAAAGGTATTCGTTCTACACGTAATCCCTCTCCCCATTATATTGCTTTGAGTTATCATCGATTGTCATTACCTTTTTATACATGTCTTTCCTCTATTTCTTCCGTGACCATTCCAAAAGCTGCTCGTGAAGCTTTAGCCCATCCTGGTTGGCGTCAGGCCATGTTAGATGAACTAAGTGCTCTTCATAATAGTGGAACTTGGGAATTGGTCCCGTTACCGTCTGGGAAATCTGTTGTTGGTTGCAGGTGGGTGTTTGCTATCAAAGTTGGACTCGATGGTACTATTGATCGCCTCAAAGCTCGTCTTGTGGCCAAAGGTTATACTCAAATTTTTGGGTTGGATTATGGAGATACCTTTTCCCCTGTGGCAAAGATGGCTTCGTTCGTTTATTTATCGCCATGGTCGCTCTTCAACAATGGCCTCTTTATCAACTTGGATGTTAAAAATGCTTTCCTCAATGGTGATTTGCAAGAAGAAATATATATGGAGCAACCTCCTGGGTTTGTTGCTCGGGGGAGTCTTCCGGGATGGTATGTCGTCTTCGCAAATCCCTATATGGCCTAAAACAGTCTCCTAGGGCTTGGTTTGGAAAGTTTAGCAAAGTTGTTCAACAATTTGGTATGACTCGGTGTGAATCGGATCATTCTGTCTTTTATCGACACTCGAGTGCTTGGATGTCTTTACTTGATAGTATATGTTGATGATATTGTTCTTACAGGTAGTGACAACCATGGCATCTCTCGGTTGAAACAACATCTTTGTCACCATTTTCGGACCAAAGATCTTGGCAAACTTAGATATTTCTTGGGTATTGAGGTAGCACAGTCCAATGATGGTATTGTTATATCTCGGAGGAAGTATGCCATAGATATTTTGGAAGAAACTGGGTTGATGAGTTCAAAGTCCGTTGATACACCCATGGATCCCAATACTAAACTTCTACCAAATCGGGGGAGCCTATATCTGATCCTGAGCAAGTATAGAAGATTGGTTGGAAAATTGAATTATCTTACGAGTTACTCGTCCCGACATTTCCTTTGCGATCGGTGTGGTAAGTCAATTTCTTAATTCACCATGTGAAGATCATTGGAATGCGAGTCATTCGTATCTTGAAGTATATTAAAGGATCTCCTGGAAAAGGATTGTTATATGCTTCTAATAACCATACAAGAGTTGTTTGCTACTCGAGATGTCGATTGGGCGGGATCTCCTTCGGATAGAAGATCTACATCCGGATATTGTGTCTCCATTGGTGGTAACTTGATTTCATGGAAAAGTAAGAAACAAAGTGTTGTGGCAAGATCCGAGTGCGAAGCAGAATATAGAGCTATGGCCTCAGCTTCCCGTGAACTTGTTTGGCTCAAGCAATTGCTTAGAGAGTTACAATTTGGAGATGTCACTCAAATGACACTTGTGTGTGACAATCAAGTTGCTCTTCATATTAGTTCTAATCTCGTCTTTCATGAGAGGACCAAACACATTGAGATTGACTGTCATTTTATTCGAGAAAAGATTATGTCCGGAGATATCAAGACCGAGTTTGTTAACTCAAGTGATCAGTTAGCGAGATATTTTTACTAAATCTTTACTGGGTCCTAGAATTGATTATATTTGTAACAAGCTTGGCACATACGATTTGTATGCTCCAAGCTTGAGGGGAGTGTTAGATATTGTTTATATATTATTTGATATTGTTAAGATATTGTTAGATATTGGTAACCACAATATCAAACAATATCTTCTGTTTATTCTGTTACTTTCAGTTACTCTTTTAGTTGTATTTCTCTACTATAAATAGACCACCCTATGTGTGATTTATACACAAGGGAAATTAATTCCAAACTATATTTTCTTTATATTCAACATTGAAAATCCCACATCGCCTACCTCATGTCATTTGGTATGGTTTAAATACATGTTAGGCTACTCCACATATTGCCAATTGGTTTTATGTTGGAACCTTAACATGGTATCAGAGCCAAAGCCTAACATCTTTCCGGTTATTGTCATGGGCCAAAAGTTGCCCTTTAGTTGGGTCAAAAGTACCCTTTGCCTGGTCCGGCGGGCTTTGTTGGAGGGGGTGTGTTGAAAATCCCACATCGCCTACCTCATGTCATTTGGTATGGTTTAAATACATATTAGGCTACTCCACATATTGCCAATTGGTTTTATGTTGGAACCTTAACAATGTTCATATTATTTGTAATCTGTTTACTATTTTTACGTTTTCTAATCTTGAGTAAGCTGTTGCTACTTCTTGTTAAGAAATACCAGTCGTAGTGCATTCGGTTTTTATATGGGTCATCTGCTTGTAATGGTTAAAGGTTGAGATTAACTCTATGTTTTCCCTGTGCACATGGATCTAGTATATTTGATTATGGACAATCTCATTGTATTTTGCAAGCTGCATAATCTATAACATACATTGCAGGTCAAAAGTGTCATTCCATTTAGCGAGCCATTCACTGTGGATCCAGCAAACCCTCCTCCAGAAAAGGACTATGACATATATTTTAAAAATTTAAAAGAAGGCATTACTGGGAAGGAAGCTCTCCAACAAAATCCTGTTTCTGTTTAATGTTGGTGGATTGTGCAGTTCAGCTATGAATATTGCAGATGTGAGAGTACTTTGAGAGCTATACTGTCTTTGATCTAAAGAGATTTAAACTTGACAAATTTGTGATACCTTTTAAACCAAATTACATATGACCTTTACCTTACAAGATGCATTTATATTTTGTTCCTAAACATGGATCTTTTCCTCTATTGTTCTAGCATATAGGAACGCAAAATGAATTTTTATATTCAAACTCTTAAGTGAATTTTCAATCTTAACTGGAAAACAATATTAAAAGCATATAAATAACTATATTTAAATTTTGTCCTATTATTTATCATTACAAGTTCCATTTTCTCTCAACTCAAATTTATAAGGTGTCATAAATAGAATTAAGCTTAATTGTATTTTTAGTCTACGTACTTTGAAGAAACGTGCGTTTTGAAGCTCCTTAATGGGAAAATTGTGGCTTTATTTTTACATTTTCAGTCAAACGTTTACAAAGTTTTATACTTCTGTTTCGACAATGTGGTGCTTCAACTTTGAAAAAATGGATGCAGTCTCTCTCTCTATATAGATATAAATTAGAAAATAAATTTCATGATTTGCAACGTTTGAAGACTAAATTGATTAATATAAAATTTCTGAAAATTTAACCATGTTTGACTTAAAATATAAAGACTAAAAGCATTTTTTTTTAATTGTTTAAATTACGTCTTTCATATTAAAATTTCATTTCATAATTAATACAAATTAATAGATGTATGATAAATCATTATTTGTATATAGTAACAAACAAATGTATCAAATATCCAATATCGAGTGAAAATAAATAATAAAAAAGTGGATCAATTGTAATGAAAGGATTTTTAATTAAATATTTAATATATTTTTCTATTTGAAGCTATACTAATCAATGATATATCACACCTCTTTAATATTTCTTTAAATTGTTTGTTGACATTTTGTAGCGAGAGCTCAATTTCAACAATTGATAAATTATAAAATAAACTGCTTGGGATAGCATTCCCTTCATATTCAACCTCTTTTTTATAAAGAGTATTTCGTCCAATTTTTCCTTCAATGAAAAAAAAAATGAACCAACCACTAAGTGCCGAGCATTTTTTTTTCTAGTGTTTGAAAATCATAATGAAATATATTAATAATATTTAAAAAAAATATTTTAATTTCATAATCATGTGTTGGACACTAACTACGTTTGTCATTTATATATAAATGGATATTTTAGAAAGAATTTCGAAAACAGAAAAGTGAAGGTATGTTGACCCAACCCTACATCAAAATGTGACTATCAGTATCTTGATCAAAGATGAACAACTACAGCCAATAGAGAAGGCAAGGGACCCAAAGGTACTGTGGTATGAAAATAATGGATCACAAATTCATATTCTATAAGCCTTTTTATGTAGAAATGCACAAATATACATCACTTTTGGTCAAACAAAAAGAATACAAATACATGTAAATTTTTATGAATATGATAAGACAATCATGGTGAAATTTTTTGATTAATTCACTTCTGTATTCTAAACAAGAAACAGTGCAGAAAAATCTTCTTACTTTGTTTACATTCAGTATCAGGCACAACAGAAAACCTGCAAAAAGAATAAGGCATAGAATTTTTCAGTGGTAATATCAGGAAAGAAGCATGGAAATGACATGTACCGGAACCAATGGAACAGGGAAAGAACCAAGAAGTATCATTGTACACTGAAACAAACTCTGAATCTTTTGCCATGTCTTCGTGCAGTTTTTCTTCTGAGTCTTTCAAGCATTTCTTGCTCAGTGAATATCCTTCCGGGGGAGTTCAAGAACACTGTGCGTGGAACCGGAGGAGACCACAACCCACTTTGTTCATAATCAAAATCGAACTGTGGCTCGTCGTAGAACTTCTCCAGCAACCTATCAGACACGGGCTTTGGGACATGCTGAACTTGAATCTTTTGTGGAGAGTTTTCATGGGGCACATTGGTTTTGGCTAGCATTTCAGTGGGAGATATGAGTGATGGTGAATGAAAATTTGAACGATACCGATAATTAACATCCCAATGTGGTGCATGTGAGATAATGAAAATACAGGGTGGGAGTGATGTAGAATTTGCAATGGAGACAAATTTTATGAGGGGCTAATGATGCAGAAGGTGGGAACTGTGACAAGGACGTGTATGGCTGTATACAATCATAGATAGGTCGTGATCACCATAATATGAGATATTGAGATTCTTTTGGTGTCTGAATGCCAAGTGTTCACTTTGTTTGTTTTCAGAACCTGCATTTAAACATAGGAAACTACTTACACAGTTTCTATCTTGTTATTTTTCAATTAGGCTTGAAGTTCACTATTATTTGCATAAATTTTAAAGTGAAATTTTTTATTTGAAAAACAATATTAAAATCACGTCGTAAAAGAATTAGAAGTAATGGATGGCAAAAAGTCAATTTTGGCCTGGTCCTACTTCGTGAGTTATTCTAAAAGTTGGTGGTGGTGAGCATAGAAGCATGAGTAGATGGGAGGCTAATAATTTCTGGGACACCCATTTGTGCAAATATGTTATGCAGTACGTTGAAATAGTGTTGAGATTTTGTACAAGTTGGACTGAATTGTTTGAGTAATTTATACACATGAAATTAAGTGTGTTGAATGGATAGACAGTGCACATGGGGTAGAGAGTTTGACCAAAATTCTGACAATGCCAACCAGCAACTAATCCATATTCTATTGTTATGTTTTGAACTTTAATTTATATACAAAATGAGTATTTAAATGTCCTTGTGTTTTCCCTTTGAATGGCATGGCAAAAGTTTGATTCGTTTATTCTTTCTTTGTACTGTGTTAATTATGTGTCTAAAATGGGGAGCTAGGTCTGGTGTTTCTGTATTCTCTCAGGGATAAAATGTCAGACTTTTGATCTTTAAGGTAGAAAGAGGAAATGAACATTAGGCATGAATTATCATCATTTCACTAACAGCATGGGTGTCAACAATGATGGTTAAGAATGATGCCTCTGTAAAGTTGTGTTTGGCAAACTGAGTTGGTATTTCCCTCCCTTTGTCTGCAAACATTTCAATGATAAAAGGTAGCAGCTACCAAAAGTTTGGTTTTTCAGACATGAACAAAGGACTTTCAGCTTTGATAAAGTACAGACAGATACATTTTTTTGGTAAAAAGAAAACCATAAATACAAGAAACTGATGAAAGAGACTATCAAGAATGTTGGGCCTTACTACTTCAAGCAATTCTTTTTTACGAGGTTAGAGCACCAATATGGCAATGCTCTTTCTTTCTCTCTTTCTATTCTCTATTGGACTGAAAAAATACTTACAGAACATGTTATTCCAAACAAATATGGTATTATAAAACATTTCAGTCTATTTCAAAATATAGGTATGGTTCTTCCGTAACATATATTTTTTAACCAAAATATTATAAGTTTATAACACATTTCAAAATGATTATGAAACAGTTAATCGGAACAATTTATGGATAGGAATTATGCTTTCGTAACTAAAATATTATACATCTAAATAATCTATTTTAGAGATAATGAAGATTACTTTCGGAATTAGACGTAAATTTTAAATTAAAATAAATAATACATTAAACTTAAAAATTATCAATTAATAATTTTTCAATAAAAATTCCAATAAATAACCAACTAAATTTTTAATAAAATTATTATTGATAAAATCATTAGATCAACGTGAATGTTTGAGATATGTTTAATTTAAAAGTTTTATTTATCAGAATTTTATTTTTAAAAAAATATTTTGATAAATTAAGAGAATAGTAACTTTTAAACTCCGAAACATAACTTAATATTTATCATTTTCTTATTAAAAAATTATGACTTTATAACAATGATAATAATAAATAGAAGTCTAACTCGATTATTTTTTAATAATTATTATATTTCACAATTTCAATTAATTTTTTGACAAACAATATCTCCACTCTTAATTATCATAACAGTAAATATTAGGCATCTTTCCTGAAAAAAAAAAGACCAATTATTTAGACAATAATATTAGTCCTGCCGATTATAGATTAAATTAATTAAATAATATTTTTTCTAAGCTAAATTTTATAAAATATAATTTTTTACAGAATATGAATTTAAATTAATTATTTTAATTTGAATGTATAAATACAAACTGCTTTTTATAAAATATAAATATAAACTTAAAATCTAATCCAGATATTTATATTTGAATGGGCTTTGGATTTTTAAAAAAGTTCAATCCATAACAATCCTAAGTTAAATTCACCTTTTAAAAATGGCCTATCCAATGCTCTCTTTGGGCCTTGGATACTAACGCGTTTCTGTTCATTTCTACGTCAAAACTTATTAATTGTGTTGTAATTAATCTTAATTGAGATTTTCTCACTCATCTCAACATCGTGCACGATAATAAATAAACATCGTGCTCAAAATCTGAAAAACTTTAATCCATGGGAAGTTATCCATCAAATAATAAATAAAAAAATATATTTTTTGACTTTGTAAATATTTAAAACGATGTAATATTTTAAAGGTTAATAGTTTTTCTCTAAAAATTTAGTACCAGTAGACTCCAATCTACGCTTCTATGTATAAAACACATTGTAATATGTATATATAATAATGCCTGTTTTATTTGCTTCTTAAAATGCGCTTCTAAAAAGCACTTTTGGCCGGCTGGTTTGAACAAGCAATGTAAAAGAGAAAACGTCTTTTTCAAATGTAAACTTTATTAACCAATTTTATATTACCAGTTTTTTTTCCAATTATATTACCAGACATCACTCAAAAAGACATAGTCCAATACCAATTCTACCAACGACTTATTCGTGTATTACTAAGACATTTTAATGTTGTAAAATAACCTAATTGGATAAACATATCTGCCCGAAAAGGACACTAATTTTTTTAAGTTAGCCAAATACAATTAAATATATTCACAGACACTAAAAGAAGCAGCATTTGTATCAAGAAAAACTATTCATCTAAGTGAATACTTTAATTCCCTCGTTTAAGTAATAACACGAATTAGTTAATTCTATATATTATTAAAAAAGTATCCTCAAAATGAATTGATTAAAATGGTCATGCTCATGCTTTTAATAAATTATGGATAAAACAAGTGGTTGTATTTAATAAATAGTTACTCTATTTTATATAATTATAATTTCATATTATTGCAAATTTTTATTTGAAGCATATCACCTAACCCACTAACCCGTAGTGGTTTGAGCCGAGTTGTGAAATTTCTAGCTCACCGTAAAGTGAGTCGGGTTGAACTCGTCTATTTTCAACTCAACCGGTGATGAGTCTATTCGGCTCACTTTGACAATCCTACCCCTAATATAAATGTTATTTTAAAAAGTTTTATATAATAATAATAATAATAATAATAATAATGATAATAATAATAATAATTCATAAAATACATAAAGAAAGTAGTAATATGAATCATCATGTCATCAACCACTTGGAATATAAAATAATTAGAGAAAAAAGTTAATAATTAGAAAAAAACCTATAACTAACTTGAAAATAATTAGAAAAAAACTATATCTAAATTAAAAATAATTAAGACGGAGAAATTGGATTGAATTTTCCAAGTGCATCTAACTTCAATCTTTATATATTGTATTTTATTTAAAGATATGGTTATAAAATCCAAGGATAACTCACTATATTTAACTCATTGTCCACTCATCAAATTAATTTTTAAAATAAAGAAATTATGATTCTTATATTTTATTGTATTTTGATGAATGATTGTAGTGATGAAATAGTAAACAATAAAGGTGACATCGAACGGAGAGACAATAAAAAATAGTGCATGACAATAATGATGACAGTTGTAAGAACGAATACTATAGTAAAAAATGAATATCACCACAAAAAAAAAACAACTTTCTCTCCTCATATTTGTATGTCTCTATGTTAAATTAAATGAAAAAAAATACAAGATAAAATCACGTTATTTAACTCTTTTAAAAAAGAAAAAATTGGATGACTCCTTTACTTGTTTGATATCACTTATTTATCCGAATTTTAATTGGTTTAACAAAGGAAAATGATACTTTTACAACCAAAATCCATACAACTTCTGTAAACAACTTTCTTTTAATATTATAATAATAGTTTTAATTTATTTTTATTTTTATTAAATCATTCTATAGATTATTATATTAATAAAAGTGAGTTATTTGAAGGATGATATGATTTCTAGTTGTCAAAATATCACCACTCTTCAACCAATTTTTGACCGATTTATTATATGATATAAACATATAAAAAATGTATTAAAGAATATATGATTAACCCTCTTAGTTAATTTTATTAAAATTATAAAATAAAAAAAGTATACTATTTAGAAAATAAAACAAATGGTAATAAATGGTGTTAGAAACAAAAATACAATAAAAAGTTTGTACCTACTCCATTATACAAGAGAAAAAAGGCGTATGATTAATAATTTGCATTGTGAATATCTTCATCAATTTAAACGAAGATTCTGTTCATTCTGGCGATTGAATGCCATTTAATAGAATCGGCGCGTGATAAATAATATACGGTCCTATAAACAAATATGTGAAAAAAGCAGAGATAGGGAGGTGCAGTAAGTAAAACACTACTATCTTCATTTCTTTCAAACATTGTGCCAGATGTCGAAACGGACGGCCAAAGTTACGGTAATTACAACAACTTCCCGACACACACACATTGTCTCATCTCATCCCTCCCTAACTGCCCCAAACTTCATCTTATTCTTCATCTCCCACTTTACCCCTTTTTTTCTTTTCCTTTTCTACTTAACAAACTATCTCATAATAACAAAAAATAATAATAAATAAAAATATCTCAAAACTAGAAGAAGAAGAAAAAAAAAAAAAATGCTGGTATCTTTTTCTCGTGCCCGCCGCACAAATAACGTGTCAAACAGACACCTCTTTGTTTTTTTTGTCTTGTTTTGACTTTTTTGGCCTCAACTTGTGGTCCCGCACCACGGCGCCGTGTACCGCCGCTGCTCCGCCAGAAGCCCCTGCCGGAACATGACGGAGCACTCCGGCAGCTCCCCGAGGTCGGCAAAGAGCAACTCGTCCTCCTCCCTCATCGGCAGCAACGCCGACGCCACGTCAGCATGGTACCCTACGGCCATAATTGGGCTTTCGAGAACGGTGGACGTCGTCGTTTCCATCTCCCCCAGCCACCCCATCTCGTCCGCGGTCGTGATCATGGACTCCCCGCCTAGGTCCGCGAACTTCTCCTCCGGTTCCGGCTCCGGTTCGACCGGGTCCGTGACCGGCTCGGGCTCGGGCTTCTTTGTGGGCCTGGCGTTGTTTCTAGAAGCTGGCCAGGGATGGTTGTGGTCGGAGGAGTAAGTGACGACCAACATTGTGGGGTCCAGGCAGCTCCTTTCCACTTGTTTCCGTGCCGGGCACCCCTTCGAACTGCTACACCTGTAGTACCCTCTGTTGTACCACAACAATTTCTTAATTTCATTCATCAAATTCACCGACTTATAAAACAGTTACACTAGTTATTTCCGTTACTTGTCTTTATTAACCAATGTTCACAACATAACCAGCATGTATAACACTTAGAATGTTGTTGGAAGGGAATTAACCTGGGATAAGGTGAACCCTTGATGGGTTTCTGCCCGTACTTTCTCCATGCCCATGAATCCGACGGTGGGGTGTTGCTCTCTCCTTTTAGCCTACACCCTTCTGTCTCCTTGATTGGGATTTGCACCACCCTTTTCTGTATTGCCCTCCTGCGTATTTCATCAAAACCAATTCCTCTTTTCACCCTTTCCTCATAATCACTCTTCTAATCAACCATAACTAAACACACTATGTATGTGATGTATATGAAAAAGAGAAAAGAGAATCGAGGGGGTGTTGATACATGTATGTCAAGAATTGTTATAGTACTAAAGAAATCTAAGAATTTTGATAGGGTTATAATTTAGGTAAAAACTCTAGACACTGAAGAAGAGAGAAGAAAACGTGCCTAAATATCCATACCAAAATCTTAGACATTGGAGAGTACCGTACAATTTCTCACATCATTGTTAATCCATCCTGGTACTTGCTAAAATTGTAATAGTTCAATTTGAAAAGGAAGGTATATATAAAAGGTATGTATGCATATATACATAGGAAGAGTGCGTAAGGAGTGGTAACCTTCTCTTTGATGAGGAAGTGGGGGAGGTGACTAAGCCATCGATGTTGAAGAGAGAGGAAGAAGGAGGGGAGTCGGCAATGTTTTCTTGAGCTGCATCAGAGTCATCTTGTTCGTTGATGTAGGAGTGACGGTTGTTGTTGGTGGTGGGTTTATTATCCATTTCTTGAGATTTGGAGTTGGTGAGTTTGATACTGACCCTGGATCCCACCTAGAAGGTGGTGATGGTGATGATGGAGGGTAATGGAAAAGGGTTAGCTAGATTAGCAGAAGAGAAGGAAATTAAGAAAGAAAAGGAGAGGGAGAAGGAGGAGAGAGAAGAGGAAATGGCCTTTAAAAACGGAGCATCGTGTTGACAGACTGGCTGAGTCTTAGTTTATTAGGGGACGTGAGAGCAAATACTTCATCATATCCGAACCAACGCCAATTTATATGAATATGAATATGTCATTTGAAAGCAACCCCTGGTTTCTTTAGTCCTTATTTTATGTCATAATTTTCCTTAAGGATAAGCCCATTGATTAGATTAATGGTACTAAGTCTCCCCTTTTTGTCATATCTGGCGCACCCTTTCCACCACAATTACTTAGTCTACTTATTCTTACATACATAGTGTACGTAGTATTAACTCCTAATTTTAATTAGCTGCAGGGTTGTTATGGTCTCCTCATGAACATCATATACATTGAAGCTTTTCACTAGTTAAATTAAGTTTTTAAATATAAAAACTAGTCCTGTACTCCAAGTGCATGCGTAGCCTATATTAAAAATATTATTTTTATAAATTTAGTTGTCTTATTTCAGGTTAAAATCATAGGGATTTTAATGAAAGTTTTTATAAAGAGTTAAATTTAAAAAGAACCTCATATTTTATGTGGATTAAAATTATTTAGAACTTGATAAAGGTGCCAAACTTTTCACCAAACATGAAAAGGCTGCGAGTTAGGGGTAGAAGGAGGAGGAAAAGGAGTGACTTTCATTTTCCAATGAAATAGGCTACTTTTGAAATTGTTGTCACATTACGCTTCCTTCAGGCAAACCAAAGGGAACCTTTTCCGTCATAGAGGTAATAATAATTAAATCAATTATATTATGTATTTCATATCATTAGCCAATTAGTAGTTGGTTTGAACTCCAATTTTACGTGTAAAAAAAAAAGACTCTCACTGATACCATGATTGATGCAAGAGAAAGAAATTTAATGGGTGGAAGTAGAAAAAAAGGATAGATTTTGGGTTGTTTGATTGAAGACATATAAGGAGTGAAATTAAAATGAAAAATATTTTTTATTATCTTACTTATTTTACAAATGAGGAAATGTTATGAAAAAGTGTTTATAAAATTATAATTTGTATAATTTTTTTACACAAAAAAAAATATAAATTATTTTAATAAAAACTGGTAATAATAAAATTTAAATAACTCACAAAAGAAAATTGCCAAATAATTTGCATAAATATGTTGTATAGCACGTTAGAGTGTATTACTTTATATTTTTATGATGCATGATTATTATCTAGAATTTCTCGTGATCCTTTTGAAAATTTAACTTTTGTATGTATGCCCTATTAATCCTTGATATGAGAAAATTTGGCACATGCTTGACGATTAAATTAAATAACATTTTTAAAAAAAGTGAACTTAATTCTACAATTACGATTAATTAGTTCAATGTGACATCACAGGACGTGGCAATTCCAACAACAAAGTTACGCCCTAATATTTCCATGGCCTTTTACTTGGTGGAGGTTGAATCCTACGACTCTTTCCCAAAGCACCCGAAGGTCCTGAAAAAATAGTTTATTACATCACCAAATAGAGAGAATTTAAAACATTAACAAAGTTCTCATGCAAAAACTTGGTTAAATTCATTTTTCAACATATTAATAACTCATTTTTTATCCCCCATTATAGAATTAATCTCGGTTTATGGTATCCATTCTTCTAATATACTTATTAGGACCACATCGCTCCCATGATATAATTAACATTTACTTGTAATTATCTATTTTCAATAATTCCATAAGTTAGAATATTATGTATTTTATAAATAATCCAAAACCTTTGTCTTAGGTATTAAAATATCCTAATATACTGTGTTATTAGCTTCAACATTCAAGATAGAAACATAGAATCTAACTATATTTATTGGTATGATTTATTAATAAATTGATAAAAATGGCATAAGAATAGATTATCTTATGGAGCTAAAGCTCCTACGAATGGGTTGCATATACGATTACATCAGAAACAAAAGGATCTTCTTAGTTAAGATCCACTTTTTCACATTTTTGTTAAGTGTTTAACTAATCAATCATATGTTAATAATGAATGAGGAAAGGAAAAACGGTCACCACCCAAAATTGTTTAACTATAGCTTTATTAAATATTGATGATTATTTGGTCACATTTATTTTTGGATCTAAATTCTAGAGAATGGGTAGCTATCGAAGAATTTAAGTAACATTTTCATTTTTGTCACGACGTGTGATTTAATATTGAGATCCCATATGTTTTGACTGAGTCACTTATGGCTGGATCCGTCGCTCTCCAATGGGAAAGGGGTTGGAAGTAGCAATTGGGCAATATGTTATAAAAAATATCAAACACCAAAAGCAAATCATTTTTCTAAGGTGCCTCAAAGCGTGAAGCAATGCATCAACTATTTATATATTATTCATCATTTACTATCTCCAGCAACCCATTTTTTATATTCTCAAACTCCTTCAATCCATTTTTCTTTTCCACAATTTGTCAGAAAAATAATAACTCTACCAATCTTCAAATGAAAAAAAAAAAACGTATTTCATAGGTTTCTTGTTCCCCAATTTTTGACTTCCTTCCCTTACGGCATTAGTGATGCAAATTATTCTCCGCCTTAAATAATCAAATTCTCATCATAATACCATACCATGCCACCATCTCTGGATACATCCATCTTACACATTTTCGTTTTTGTTTATTTTACGAAAGATTGTTAAAGAATCTAAACCTTCTCACCCAAATAATCGACCCTTCTATATGACTGACTCATAATTAATTCATGTTTAATACTTTCTATATATACCACAATTATCCTTACATTAATAAAATAAAATTTCTAACCTTTTTTTATTGTTGGATCGTTTACCATCACTGTATTATTTAGCCCCGTCAAAAGGCTCACGAAGTCACCGCTACCTTTCAAGAAACATATTTGTTCAATTCTTAGTTTCATATTTCAATTCCCTTAATTTACTTCTTCATTTAGAGCCTAAAACATACGTTCACTAGTGCAAAAAGGGGCTTTTACGTCAGGTATTTAGGGTTTTTTACGTCGTATTTAAGTCCGACGTTAAAGCGGGAGACGTAAATTTACGTCGGACCCTTTTGCCCGACGTAGATTTACGTCAGTTATCAAGATCCGACGTAGATTTACAATAAACAGACGTAAAAACCTTTTCAATTTAAAAAAAAACAGAAAATTTACGTCGTATATGGTATACGCGACGTAAATTTACGTCGCGTATTGGTATATGCGACGTAAATTTACTGTTTTTTTTTAAATTCGGTTTATTTATTACGTTTTACAACTAAAACCTCGCAAATAGTAATCCAGACAGATCCAGAGGTTCAGTTTTCTTTAGCTAGTAAATTAAAAATATAATATTATATAATTCAAACTACATAATAAAACAATATAATACAAACATACAAACTAAAAAATCTATTACAAACTAAGCTACCTATACAAACTAAGCTACCTATACAAACTAAGCTACCTATACAAACTAAACTAAACTACATAATACACACAATATAATATGAACAAGAACTTAAAAAATAATGTACTAGAATTGTTGAACAAAAAATTTTGCCCATTGTTCTCTAATTTACGTAATATCGATTCTCGTAATGGAGATGGATCTTGAAATACCTGAAACATGAATTTGACTCTTGTAAGCATGCAACATGAATAAAGTTAAATAAACTTAACTAATGTTAAAAGTAATTACCTCCGTCCAAGAATCAATTAAACCCGCACAAACTATGGCTCTCATCCAATACATTACATAATAACCACATTCAAACGAGTCAGCTTTGCTTATTACACTCGAAATGATGAAAAAAACATAATATTATTTTCAAAATTGAAATACAAACAATAATTATGGTATTCACTTATATAAATAAGTTTCTAACCTTAGGATAAATGAACTGCAAAGTCTTTGTTCTAGGTTTTCCACTTAGAACATTAGTTCCAGCACACGATTCTAAGTGAAAAAAAGTCATATATTATTCAATATGTATTCACAATTTAAAAACATAATTAATGAATAAAAGATAAACTTACCCTTGTAATAAGCTTTTCATTTCTTGACTCGGTTTCCGATGTAATGAACAAAACCACACCACGAGTGTAATCCCGGGCATGATTACAATTAACCGCCAATGGGACCTACATTGTATGACATAAAAATTAGTTACAAAAATATAAATTAAAATACAAATTAAAATACTAACCCTTCAATGTATGGAGCCAAATATATATGTCTTCTTGAGTCACTCATCCATGTTTGCATATATTGTTGGATTCCAACCTTTGTATTTCCAGATTTTTGGATGGATTGAGGCTCAATAAATCCGTACACTTCGGATTTTTCTTGTTCCACACTCAAATTGTCAAGGTACCTAAAACAATTAATTATAAGTTGAATATAATTATTATAATCTTAGAAACATAAATGAAAATGACTTACATTGCCCACAATTGTATGATGGAAATGTTTAACATGCAATTTCCCCGAGTAATTTCTAAAGCATCGGGCAAGGAAATGTACAATGGAACACTCGGAATTGTCAATTCCAAACACTCTAACATCCCATTGTATCCGACACGGTCTCTTCCTCAACCGTGGTAATACGGCTAACAACATAGAGATGGGATCATCATCACATTCTGTCAGATCCTCATCAATAATAGGTTGTTTTTTATGCTTTGCACGACGCAAGTCCTCCTAAACAAATGATAACAATTAATTAAACATTTATATAATTATAATACTAGAAAAGAGTAAATAGACAATATGTATATATATATATATATATTACCTTGGTCTCGTGGCTGATAGTGGCATAACCAAACGTCTTGGCCAAGCCAAGAATGTCCCGCTTGCTCGCCCCACTAATTGAATCTCTTCATTAGGAAAAGGCACTTGGAGCATTAGCATCATGAACTTCATCAACTACTACTCGTGTCCAGTCCTGGCTGTAGAGGGACACCATGGATGGTTAAGCCACCCTCAAAAACTCGACCAACAGACCACTAGACGCGGGGGTCATCTTCAACATATAACTCACACCTGGTGTGATGCATCGATCCGAGTATATTCTCCTGAAGGATCAACAGTAGTAGCAAGCACAACTCCCTTTAGTGCCGACTCGAACAATATCATGTTCAATTGTTTGAGGTGTTCCTTGAGTCTCGTTGTCGAGAGCGGGTGAGAGATTCAATTTTCTCATCAAACTCTTGCCGCAAGGACTGCCTTATTTGATTTAACTTTTCTTCAAACTGCATCTCCATTTTATGCAAGGCCTCCCGGCTGCAAGAGTCAGCAGTGGTCCTTCGTGATGTTGGACCAAAGTAATCACGAAGGCCCCGTGTTCCACCAAGCACCACGCACACGTCCCGAGTAATCTGGTTTTCCTATGGCTGTCGCCAATATATCTTGTCGACCATGAGGAATAAATGATCCTTGGTCGGTCTCGCTCAACTAAATCATCCTACAACACATTAACAATAATTAAGTCATACACTAACTTTCAAATTAGAATCAATTCAAATTGACATTATAACTTACGATTTTCTCGTGCAATGATTCGTGCGTACTCGAAGTCATTTGTCCATCGATTTTGTCCGAGCCGCCTTCCACATCTCGATAGCGAGGGGTGGAGATGCAAGGTCGGTAGAATCAACTCCTGCCGACTCTTCTCTCGGATTTCATGAGACGTTGCTCCAATAATGCATACCCTCCTCGTGACAATACATGGGGTGCATCATTCAACCTCTCGACGTTGTCAGGCGCCTTGTCTTTTATCCCGCCAAGAGGGGTCCATTCGGCTGGCACAAAACCGTAACCAATCCTCCTCACTAATTTGATACTTTACACAGGGAGATTCATCTCGAAACTTTCCAAATACATACTCCCGTGTCAAGAAAGTCTTAAAGTCCCTCCATCTAATGGCAATGGAGGATAAAATCTTCTTCCTCATCACCTCGGTGTTAGGAACATCAAAATTTTGCTGTGAAATGACCAATAAATGTTAAATTCAATTAATAATGATATATAAAGTATTCAACAAATATAGAAATACCTGAACATCCCGCCACATGAGGTTCTTCTCGGTTTCCTCAACATCATCCCAAGATGGAGTAGTAATCGAACATGGTGTCGAGCTAGTAGTCCCAAATAGCTCTTAAACTTAGCAAGCATTTGGGCCGGATGCCTTACCGTAACGTGGATCAACTTCAACTTGAGTTTTCTCTCTAGCTACCCTCCTTGCCGTCAACCCCTTTAACCGAGTGACAAATCTACCTTTATCACCACTTCCGCTCCCGCCATCGCCACTACCACTACCAAGCATCAACTGTGGAATCCAACATATCCCGAAAAATAAAACAATATTAAGTCAACATACTTTATAAGTTTGAATAAAAAGAACTAGAAAATGTTAAGATAAACACCTATTATGTTGGTATGTTTTCCCATATCCCTTCATCATGATCACTTCGAATTGCATGTATGTCATCAACTTCATTGTCAACTATGTCATCAAATGGTCTACTTGAAAATGAAGGTGTTTCATGTATATCTAGAGACTCATCTTCATGAATTCCGTGCATGTTTCTTCCTTCTAGGACAATTGACCATCTCTCATTACATGGATCCTTGACATAAAATATTTGTCTCGCTTGATATGCCAAAATAAAAGGTTCATCCTTATACCCAACTTTACTCAAATCAACCAAAGTAAATCCTAGGTCATCTGTTCGCACACCCGTATTCCCTTCAACCCATTTACACTTGAAGACAGGCACCCTAAAAGTAACATAATCAATTTCCCATATCTCTTGTATGACCCCAAAATAACTCATAGAAGCCGTGATAGGATTTTTGTCTTTAGAACTAGAAAAATGCATAGATTCAGCTTTGAATTGTGACCCCACTATTTTGTACTCTACCTTTATCATCTTCTATTTTTGAGTAGAAACAATAGTTATTAATGTCATACCCACCAAATGTAATGACATCACTATTAGGCCCACGAGCAAGTCTCGAAGTGTTTCGAAGCATTAATCTCAACATATACCCTTTTTTTAAACCAAGAAAGGAAACTTTTGTTATGTTCATTCAATACCCATTTTTCATTCATTCGTGGATGTGTTGCCTTTATTTCAATTATGTGTTGTGATATGTAAGGGATTACTTCATCGTTGTTGTTCAATATGTATAAATGTGCTTGGTCAACTTCTTTCCGACTAACATTTTTAATCTTCAAATTTCGAGTACTCTTACCTTCACATCTTCCATCATGTCTCATCTTAGGAATACCTATTGGTTCCGATTTTGACATGTATCCTTGACAAAACTCAATGGCTTCTTCTGCAATGTACCTTTCCACAATAGAAGCTTCGGCTCGTACCGATTCTTCACATATCCTTTTAAGATCTTCATGTATCTCTCAACAGGATACATCCATCTAAGAAAAATTGGACCACATAACCGAATTTCCCTTACCAAATGGACTATCAAATGCACCATGATATAAAAAATGAAGGGGGAAAATACATTTCTAACCGGCACACTATCACAATTGCTTCATTTTCTAATTCATCTAACTTTTTTGGATCAATTACCTTTTTACAAATGGCGTTGAAAAACAAACATAACCGAGTAATAGCAATTCTAACAGAAGTTGGTAAGATGTTTCGAATAGCCACTGGTAAAAGTTGTTGCATCAACACATGACAATCATGAGACTTTAAACCAACTAATTTCAACTCTTGCATAGACACAAGACTCTTAACATTTGAGGAGTATCCTTGTGGCACTTTGACCTCACGTGAACACTCACAAAAGCTTCTCTTTTCTTTCTTTGATAGAGTATGACAAGCCGGAGGTAAGTAAGTGCGTTTTCCAACCGATTGTGGATGTAATTCGAACGTATACC